ACACACACACACACACACACACACACACCCTAACTTCTTACATAACACACTCTCCTATTTTAAGACCATGTACATTTCCACTGGGCTGACCGCCTATTTCATCCGCCCCTCCTCCCCACACTCAGCTGCAATTTCTTTCACTCCGTCTTCTCGTTCTCTGACTCCCCCTCTCCTCTCCTCCTCTCCTCCCCCTCCTCTCCTCCTGTTTTGATTCAATCACATCTCAACGATACGCCTTCGGGTTCTAATCTGGATATTAAACCATAACAACGTTTTTTTCTCTGTTTCAGTCTCTCGTTCACACACAAGCAGCATTTTCATTTCACTAAAATGTCCCTCTGTTGCTTTGCGTAAAGAAAAATGGCGGCTATATACCGGTTCCTGAATGTGTCGTTAGCACCGCTAGGTCGAGGTACCGCACCACCCTCACCCGATATTTCGTCGACCGCCTCTTCTCTAGTATTTGTACTTGAGACTCTATCGCCTCCTACTGGCCCAACATGCTTGTTTGCGGTACGGAGAGATTTTGAAAATCGGATATTGTGCGCACAGTTTTTTTGTTGTTGTTTTTTTTTTTTAAAGGGGGGAGGGGATATCTGCAGAAGTGTAGACAAGGCTTTAAAAAAAGACTTGTGTTTTAAATTCTTCATTTCTCCTCATCATCATCTTTCCATCATTGTGCTGTTAACCATCCACAGTCCTCTTCCAATGCTCTGTCCCCTCTTTTCCTTTCACTCCCTTCCCATGCCTCTCTCTCTTCTTCTCCTCCACCCTTGAATGTTTACTTGCTCTTTAACTTTTAATAAACTCCCCCCCCCGTTATCTCCTCCTCTTTCACCCTCTCCTCAATTACTCCCTGTTCTGCTCATCATGTTGTTTTCGTTCCTTTCGTTTATATCATCGCTCTTCGTCCTCATCCATCTCTCCTCTTTGTGTTACTTGCAATGTTTTCCTTCCCTCTATCCAACATCTTTTTTCTTAATTTATTCCCCACGCCAGCTCTCACTTTCATGTTAAAGACGTTTCATTGTTTAAGAAAGAGGAAAAAAAACAAGGACAAAGGAGAGACATGAATAGAGGGAGACATGGAGAGGTAAGGCGTGGGTGGAAGAAAGCGACAGAGAAAAACAGGTTGAAAAATAGCTGTTAAAAGTTAACTGACAAATAAAGTGAGGAGGTAAAAGGGGAGGCAAAAAAAAAAAGAAGGGGGGAGGGACCGAGATGGAGAGCGGCTACTAAAAATTTAACGTGTCACAGAAAGTGAGATAATGTGAGAGTCAGACAGCTGGGCGTCTGACATCGATAAAACAAACCTTCGCAAGATCATCGATAACACCGAGCGCCTGAGACGTCGAGTGTAACAGAAAATAACAAGAGTGAGAATCAGAAACACGGCAGAGATAAAACGTTAAAGAAAAACAGAGCCTGTCACTCTTATCTAACCAGAGTCAACAGTCACAGGTTACAGCAGGTCAACAGTCACAGGTTACAACAGTCCTGTTTAAACACAATACCAACATCATCATAGATTCTGAGACCAACCCTGAAGTCATGTGGCGTGTCAAATATGGGAATCGCAAACAGCCACATTCACTTGAATGCATCGGAATCAGAGCAGATGAGGGCTCTGTGCCATTTCACTTACGAAAGCGGGCACCTCGGTGAATCACTGGTGGGAAGTGGCATATCTATGTGGGTGCAGGCGGCATGAACCTGCCATGACATGTTTTTCACGGTCAAGATGGAAACTGCTTTGCGCTGCTTGAAGATGTCAAAGATAATGTGTCAGACCACGGTTTGTTTTAAGAGCAGCTCGTGCAAGGCTGCTCGGATGGTCACAGAAGCATTTGCCTTTTATAAAAAGTCAAAGATGTTGCATTAAGTGTTGTGATAATTAAAAATGTATATTAGTATATCAATCAATATATGGACCTGTATCTGGTTCCATTGTTGTCAATAAACTGCAAATTAACAAACTTTCCATTTCATCTTTTATGTGAGAGTTGCTCCTGATTGCTGCTCGACCGATTCCTGTTGATTTGATAAATTTTGGTCCAAAATTTGGGAAATTCCAACAAATCTTTGGTGAACAGTCTCACGGCCTCAAGGGGGCGTTCACCTTGCATGTCATGATTTAATTCCGTCATCCTGGCAATGAATGAAGATGCGCACTTGGTGCCAGGCTACAGAAATAACTGATGTTTCTTTTAATCAAATGAAGCCGTGACCCTGCTGTGGGTGCCGGTTGTAAATCAACACGTTCCACACTTTCACCGTCAAGGAAGATGAAACCTTTAAAAGCTGCAGAGCACTTACATCAGCTGCTCAAACCACAACTACAATGCAATTAAAGAAAATCATGCAGGACTAATGAGGCAGCTCTAATGACATTTAAGAAGACGTGTGCGATAGTGTGTGTGTGTGTGTGTGTGTGTGTGTGTGTRTGTGGGTTAGTGGTTCCCGCTGGTTAACACAGAATGCACACGAGCAGCAAAGGTCAAGGACGCCCCCGTCGTAAAAGTTAGTCAGCGGCTCCTGCGACGTAGCTGGGTGAGGTTTTTTTTATTCACAGTGTCAGCGTACGCTGGCTCAGACGCTCAGTTTTCATTTCAAGAAGCTACTGTGAGAATGCTGCCGTGCCTGTGGCTGAGATTTCACAGACACACACACACACATTCCACTCACCTCAGGTTACTGACTTAATAAATGATTTAACAGCAAACAAGCCCGCTGTTAATGAAGCAGCTTTCACTGCCGCTCTGACGGACGCACAAGACGTCAAAGAACCGTGTCTCAAGACCATAAACATTCCAGTTAAACATTTTCCAGTTAATTTGTCCGATTGGTTCAAAATTAGATTTGGGGTAAAGTTCTCCAGTGAATGAAAACAGGTTTAATCTGCTACATCAAACATGCAACTGGGACCTTGTCCCTTGAAACAGCCTCCAGCGCACAGGAAGTGATGCATGTGCTACAGGGATGCCTCTGTCATAATCAGATGAAAAACTGAATTCTTGCCGCGAGCTAAGTCTGGTGGGCCAACTCAAGTGGTATTTGACCATGCATTCATGTGGTGTTCTGAAAAATCTGAAAAATGACCTCGTGACTGGGAAAATACACAAATACCCACAACCAAGTCCGAGCAACAACAATTTTTGCTGCACGAGTTTTTCGACGTCATCGCTCATAAACAGATGAACTTAAATTTTACAATCCGCTCGGACTCGTAGCTTCTTATGTTGATTTCAAACTAAATGTCCATCTCTCACCAGCACCTGACACCACTTTTTATAATTACATAGTGCACATTCGGACCTAAAAGAACTTGAAGGAACTAAAGTCCGAACACCAGCTTTACTACCGAGCTTCAGAGGAGCAGGAGGAAACTCAGAATGTCATTAAAAACTCTGTGTGATCGTCAGATTTCTTTATTTATTCTTCACTGGCTCGGTGGAACACAGCATGGTCTCCTCAGTAGCCGGCACAGACACCTAAACTTTCTCTGAAGGAGGAACTCTCCCTGACCACTCCAGCAAAAGTTTCGCTTCTCAGAAACTCATTAGTTTCATAAGTTTTCCACATGTCTGAGCAGAGTGGCAGCCATGTTGTGTGCCACCTGATTTAAACACTGCACAGGGATTCGCTGAATTGACACTTGACAATAATAGCTGTGGGAGGTGATGACATCGTCCATTAGCCAAACCCCACTTTAGATATACAGGAACTTAACCAGATCAGATGTGATGGGTCTGATTCAATCCCAAGCTCACGGTGAGTAATTCTGAAAGTTACCGCACATCAGCTCGAGTCGGACTCTGCAGCCGTGGAGATTAGATTAAACTCAGGGCTGCAGGAACCAACACACACTCACACACACACACTCAGCCAGTGTCGTCCTGCTCCAAAACAACGGAGGTTTCATCCCAACAGCAGCTACCGAGGAAAAAAAAAAAAAAAACCCCGAAATCTAGTGTCACACTTTGTTTGTGGTGTGTCTCTGCCTCCGTCCACAAAGTTTCTGTCCAGACTCAGAGCGTCTTCACGTAGCAGGTCACCGCGTGTGGAAGAGCTGCGAACCAACAACTTTCTCCAGCTCTCATTAAATGTACTGTTGCTTTGTTTTATAGCCACAGTGTGATCTTAAACATGATTTCAGAACAAAAGCACAATAAAATAAAAACCTTCTGTAAAAACCCTACCATTCAAAACCTCTTTAGTTTTATCTCGGTGCAACATTATCTCCCTGAAAACAAAGACTTCTTATTCAGTTTTTACTTTCAATGCTTTTAAAGTTAAATGTTTGGAATTCTGATTTTTTTTTAAAAAACAAACTAAATATGTTCAAATTAAAAAAGTGAATTACTTGTATTGTCTTTTTTTGTGGCCGTCTGAATGTTTGAACTCTCCACTAATGCAAAGAAAAGGGGCTAATCTTTCAAGGTCTGTGGGCGTTAACTGGGTAATTTTCCAATGTTGAAACTGATCCAAAATGGAGGCAGTTACCTGCTATCACAACCAAACCATACAGTCAAAACACTGAGCGGCTCCCACTGAGGCAGGGGTTCTCTCACTTCAGCATGAGGAGACACAGATGACACTATAACACACACTGATAGGCCCAAAGGTGGAGAAACTGCATGTTTCAAAGAAATGACAGAACTACACGATGACACACGAGCTACGTGGATGTTAGAAATAGAATATTTCATTTCCACAGCACTGAGTCTAGAGATTGTGCAAAAATGAACACAACTGCACTTTTTATTTGCACACTGGCGGAACGTTCTTAAAATAGGCCTGATCAAAAAAAAAAAAGTCAACCTTTCACCAAAAAAGACCAAGTCAAACAGAGAGGGGAAGAGAGAGATAAAGGTAGAGAGACAACAAGCGAGAGAGAGAGAGAGAGGGGGGAGGGAGAGGGAGGGAGGGAGCGCGCACGATGGGCAACGTGCGCCTGAAGAGCATCTCCGCCTCCTCACCGCTCCGAGCGAGTGACTGCCCTGCCTCAATAACGGGTTTGATCACACAGTCCACAGAAATATCACAAGGACGCATCAGCTGTGCGTAAACAGGACAAACACCATGCACAAGAAAAAGAGGAAATGACCAGCGGGGACCTGAAAGCGTCTCTGAACTTGCTGAGCAGTTCATGTTAACAGCCTCACACAGTTATCAAACACGAGTGGAACGAAGAGAGACTGTAGACGAGGATCAGCCTGCGATCTGATCCACGCGGTTGAAGGCGGGACACATTGAATCAGTGTCCTCTCCACACTGACTTCAGTTCAGTTTAGACTTCCAACAGGACGAAGCTCAAAACAGCAGGACTCATTCTGTCTCTGTCTCATCGAGTCCACGTCGAGATGCTCGTAAGAATCAGGACATGTCCACAGCTCTGTGCAGGAGGAGGGAGGGAGGGAGGGAGGGGGAGAGAGGGGTGGTGGAGACGAATCTTATCTCCTGATATTGAGATTGTGGAATTAATCAGTATGTTTGTTTGACAGGGAGGCTGTGCACAAACAGGAAGCCCCCATCTGGTAACTGTGTGTGCACGTGCCAGTCTGGAAGTGTTAGAAAATTGAATGCTCGACCTCGACACACGAAAAGAGAGAAAGCGTGTTGACGCGTGCACGTGGGAAACAGCGTGTTCCTGCCACGAGGAGGAACAAACTGAGATAGAAATAAATTTTTTTTTAAAAAGCAACAAACCCAACATATGTGATACCTGCTCGTGTTGCATTCAAAGCTGCTGCTGAGACGTTCTACACATCCATCAGTCATCCTCCCTGAGCGCACGAGCCAGCGCGCGCACACACAGAGCAGCATTTATCCAAAATAAATCAATCAATCAATCAATCAATCAATCCACGGCATCAGGAAACAACATCCCTGAATCACAAACGCTGTGAGTATAACACACAGATTTCACATTTCACACGCTCCAAAAAAAACTCTTTTTTAATTTAGCATCCATGCAATAAAAACAACCTGCTCTCACCGCAACACACAACACAGGCGTTAACAGGATGATTCCAATAAAGAAGACCTGAACACAGCATCTCACTCATCCTCTCACTCTGTAGGTGTCTGTCGGGTTTTTTTTTTTTTTTCTCCATTACCTGCTGATGTGATTTTCTTTTACTGTTATTTTTGTCCTTTTAATGTCCTTTACGCGCGGTCCCTTGTCCGTGTCCTCTGGTCCGTGTCCTCCTGTGTCTGAGGGCTGGACGCGTCGGTAGCTTAATTTTTTACCCTATTTATAAGCCTCCGTTTGTGACCTTTGTCTCTTGCAACGGGGATCAGAAACAGTGGAAAATTACTGGCCTGCCTCCTCAGCAACAGGAGAGCCAGTATCTGATGCCTTCAGGGCCTGCGTATAGCATCGGAATTATCCAATGCGCCAGCTCCTCATGCTCTTGACTTCACGTGGAGGGGTTTTTTTTTTATTTATTTTTTTTTTGCACCTGAGGGTTCGTGCAAACTTGAAAAAACGCATTTATGAAAAAAGATTACCTCTCCTTCTTTGTGCGTAATTTTCCGTTTGGATGCATGAA